CCCCCTCCCCCTTCTCATGAGTCGTCAAAAATGAAAGGCTGGGGGCAGGGCAGAGCCAAGTGGAGCGGCGGAGGTGGGGGGAGTGAACTCGCGATGGGGAGGAGGGGGGGGCGGGGTGCGGATAAAGGAGGGAGAGGGGAAGGAGGGGCAGGGAGAGGGAGCTTGGGACGCGGGAGGGGCAGGGAGTGGGGGGTGGGACGCGGGAGGGTGCAGGGATAGGGACAGGGAGAGGCAGGGAGAGGGGGGAGGGGCACACCAGGGGCAGCAACGGTGAGCAGAGTTCCGGTCCACGCACGCCCATCGCTGCGCCGCGGCCGCCTCTCTCGCCGCCCGTCAGTCGTACCCACATCAAGGCAACTCCGAGCGCGGGTATGGCGGCGGCGAGGATGACCTGGCTGGCGGATCCGGCCCGATATCCGACGCTTATTGTAGCCGAGCGTAGGCAGCGTCCTCCTCCCCCTTTTCATTCTCCTTATCTCTCTCCCTCGCCTTTCGTTCTCCCTCCTTCTCCATTTACCCTCTTCCTTCTTCCTCCCATCTTTCATTTCGCTCTTCCTTCTTCCTTATTTCTCCGATTCGCTCTTCCTCCTTCCTCCCTTCTCCCTTTTCGCTCTTCCTTCTTCTTCTCTTTTCCCGTCTCCCTCCCTCCTCACTAATCCCCCCTCTCTCTCGTCTCCCTCCTCCCTCCTCCTCCCGTCACTCTCTCGCCGACTACTCACTCACCTTCCCGCCCCTTCACTCTCATTCACCCTGTGATTCTCGCTCTGCTACGGTGCACTCGGCCGTTTTTTTAAGTCCTCCTCCTCCTTTCTTCTTCGTTTCCTTCTTTCCTCTTATTATCATATTTTTCTTCCTTCTCTGTATCTGTTTGCAAATCTATCTGGTAGTTGCCCTCTCGTTTTCCGTTTGTCTTCTACACCCTTCCTCTGTCCCTATCTCCCTCTCTCTCCATCCTCCCTTCCCTCCCCTCTTCCCTCCCCTCTTCCCTCTCTTTCCCTTCCCTCTCCTCTTCCTCATCTTTCCCTTCCCTCTCCTCTTCCCCATCTTTCCCTTCCCTCTCCTCTCTCCCTCATCCTTTCCCTGTTCCTCACCCTCTTTTCCTTCCTCTCCCTTTCGCTCTTTCCTCTTCTCCTCCCCTCCCTCTTTCCGTTTCTCTTCCTCTCCCTCTTTCCGTTTCTCCCCCTCTCCCTCTCTCTCCCTCTCTCCCTCTCCCTCTCTCTCCCCCTTCTCACCCTCTCCCTCTTTTTCCTCCTCTCCCCCTTCTCCCTCTCCCCCGGCTTCCAACCAGCCATCCCGGGCAGGACATGCGAGCGGTGATCAGTGACGTCGGCGGATCACCCAGACTCGGTCCCTCCCGCATCAAATCATCTTTAAGTTGATTGCCGTACGTTGGAAGGGGGGGGAGGGGTAGGGAGGGGAGCGGAAGGGAAGGGGGGGGTCGGTTGCGCCACCTGTAGGGGGAGGGAGGGGGGGGAGAGGAGGGGGAGAGACCATCTTCCTCCCGAGGCAGGCGTGAAGAAAACAGGGGGATAAAGATGATTTATTTTTAATTAAGGAGTCCATTTTGTGTGGCGTAGTTGTGTTTGGAGAGAGAGAGAGAGAGAGAGAGAGAGAGAGAGAGAGAGAGAGAGAGAGAGAGAGAGGCCAAGACCACACCCACAAGTTACACACTTTCGTTGTTGTGGACTTTGTACGTGCCACCCTCTACTACCCCCCCCTCCCACTCACCTCTACTCCCCACATCCCCACTCACTTCACATTCACTCCTCATTAATGCATTCTTCACTTCTCATTCCTCCCCTTCTCTTCCCATTTATTTACATTCTTGAAATCACAGTTCAGAGTGTGTATCTCCCCAAATCTTTTCAGCGGCAAGCCATCTGTCGTAGTTTGCGTGTCATCTGGCGTCACACAAGCCATCTATCACCTGTGCCCCATCTGTCCCCTCGCACTCTGGGCCGCGTCTTGTTCTGAATGCCATCGTACAGACTCTGTGTACTTTCACGTCAGACATACACACTCGCTCACATATATACGAGAGCATTACACGTTCACATTCGCATTCGCATTCGTACACACATTCATTCATTCTTTTTATTCACTCACATTCATACTCACTCAGATACATAACTCATTTACTCACTAACGTACTCACACTTATTCACTCACTCGTACACTGGCTCACTCATTTACAATCATACATTCATACTCACACACTTACTCACTCATTCACTTACTCGCTTACTCAACTCACTCAACCACCCAATAGCAGTCGCACATCTTCACTTTTGCGACACGTACAAGTTATATATGTCCTTGTTTCCCACCCAACCATAACTGCCACGGTTGCACACTTGTAACGCTAAAACATGTCTATCACTTCTCGCTTTATCAACTTTCATCAGCCCCTCATCCTTTTTCCGTATTTGTCCATGACATTTGACCTCTAGACCCCTCCCCCCCCACTCATACACATCCCTCTCCTCATAACATGACCTGTATCCCACCCGCCCATTTTGTTTTTATAGATATAAAGAAGTGGCAATTTTTTATAAGAAGAATTCTATGTTAGATTTAAGAGAAGAAAACTGCTTTCCTAGATAGCTTTAGATGGACAATATAATGATATATATTTTTTTCAATTTTTTTTTGTATTAGGTGTCATCTACAACTAGTGCTGTGATAGATAGGCATAAGAAATACCCCCTCCCCCTTACCCCCACCCTTCCTCCTCCCTCCCCCTTATGAAAAAAATGAAAAGAAAAGAGAGAGAGAGAGAGGTTGGTAATTGTGGTTGCCTAAACACGTTTGTATACAGAAATGGAAACTTATTTTTGTTACGAGATATAAAAAAAAACGAAGAAACCAATAAAAAAAGAAACATTTTTTTAGCCAAAGAGGCCCGGGAAAAATAATCCTCCCTCTTGATTCTGTGAAGAAATGTCTCTTTTTTTCCCGTACGTGTGGAATTAGGGATGTGACGTGGAGTGTTTTCGCAGCCCCAAACGCTTGTCGTAGTCGCGGAGCCCCTACCCCGACCCCATAGGCCTACGTCTCCTCCTCCCTGTAGGCCGAGAAGGGCTCCATCGCTTTTTAGTGGCTGTGTATTAGCATTTCGAACAATAAACCGTAATGGAAGACCTGTTGTGTTATTTATTCACATCCATCAGACTTTACTTTCTGTCTCTGGAGCATGAGAACTTGAGTTATTACATGACGGGGGGGCGGGCGGGGAAGGGAGTGCATTGTTTTATAATATGGAAGAATTGTAATGTTTTATCTTACTGTTAGGCTTTGTCTGTTGTCTCCCTTTCGTTCTTTCCTCTCGATATTTGCACTTCTATTCTCCCTCAGTCTCTTTTTTTCGCACCCAGTCTCTTTTGGAGTATATAGACGAAACAAAGACCAGAAAATGGAACGTCTAACCGAACAGGTGTGACGGAGACCTCCGGAAAGAAAGACAAGTTGCTCTTTGGGCTGGAGAGTCCGTTCCGCCTCGCTGGGCCTCGGCTCTCTCTAGGCAGCGAGGTTTTAAGGCCTAGCGACCCCTTGTGGCCAGACGGGGTCCGCTCTGGCTGATTTCCCGGCGATTTAAATGGTAATCCTTTAATATTGATGATGATATTAGCTGCGCGCATTGCGGGCTAAGGATAGGCCTAGACTGCTCTCCCCGCCTCAGACTGCGCGACTTAACTCTCCCTCTCTCTAGCTGTAGTAGACCCAGTGCTTCTTTAGTGGCGGTGATGGTGGTGGCCCCGCTGTGGTGCAGGCTGAGGCTGGAGGTGGAGGTGGAAGCGCTGTGGATATTGATGGAGGTTGTCTTGCAGGTGTCGCGGCGGGAGGCAGTGTGGGGGCGGGCCAGCAGCGGTGCCCCCTCTGCAACAAGGCACTCAGCCGCTGGACGAGCCTGCGGCGCCACATAGAGGACAAGCACACGCAGGGCGGGGCGCACATCTGCCCTATCTGCCACCACGTGTACCGCACCAAGAACTCCTTGCACAACCACCTGAGCGTGTACCACCGGGGCGCCACGGGCTCCAGGGGACGCCGCGGCCGCTACCCCTCGTACACCGTCCTCAGGACTACCAACGCACAGCAGCTCGCTGCGCTGAAGGCCGCCGTCAGGCACGCGCCCCGAGAAGGAACCCCGGTGCGAGATCTCTCCGCGCCTCCGGACGCCCTTCCACCTCCCTCAGCGGCCTCGACGGTGGCGCCCCCGCTCCTGGCCGCGGAAGAGGTGGAGGATCTGCGAGACGCCGCGCAGGAGGCGGCGGGAGGCTTCGAGTCCCTGCTGCACGGGGACGCGGAGGTGCCCCCGGGCAGCCCGCACTCGCACCCTCAGAAGAACTCGGCGCCGCAGACCGAGTTCGTGGTGAACGAGATGGTCGATGAGTAGTGGTAGCTCGCGTTCGCACGCCCAGGACTGACCTCAGAGGTCAGGCCCGAGAGGCCAGAGGCCCTAAGAGGCAAGGAGGCGCGACCTAAGAGGTCCGGACCTCGGAAGAGAAGCGCAAAGTCCCGAGAGCAGCCGAACACCTCCCCCCTCCAGCACCCGTGTCTTTATGCTCTTCAGTTGTCTGAGTGTAACTTGGTCTGCGAAGGAGTGCCGCAGCCCCGGCGAGGCGGCCGACGCGTCTCTACAAATTAGTACTAGTATTACCTCAGTGGAAAAGATATATAGATCTATTTTGTTACCTGATGCGTGTCTGTTTTTTGTACTTAAGATACTTGATTACATGCTTCATTAAGAAGGAAAAAATGTGATTTCTCAAAGTTAGATAAATAGAGTGGATGTTGATTACCTGGTGATTAATGTGATGAATTATGTAACAAAAAACAAAACAAACAAAAAATTACTTGAAGTTATTTTTTATATTCTATAATGCTGAGTGAAGCGAGTAAGTCAATGAGTGTGAGAGCCTTTGGTGTCCCCTTGATGTTGTAGTGTGTTGAGGCCGTGAGAGGAGCGTGGCAGCGGACCGTCACGCACCATGATAACGCTCCGCGACTCAGTGTTTGAGAAGCTAAATGCTGCTTGTCGTTGCAGGCGGCCAGTTGTCTTCCACACCGCCGTCGTCGGTGTCTTCAAGCTTTGTCCCGCCCTTTACGTCTCCGCCGCCGCCGCCCCTCCCGCCCCCGCCAGCCTGCAGCAGCGCCGCCTCCAGCGTGGTCATAGGCGCCGGCGGTGGAGGCGCCCTCACGACCACTGGGGCGAGTGGCGGCAGCCGAGAGGTGGTGGTGGCGAGCGTGGGCGGCTCTTCGGGCGGCGCTGGCGGGCGAGGGGCGAGCGGCGTGAGTGGCGCGTCGTGGGTGGGGGCGCAGTGCCCGATCTGCTTCAAGGTGCTGCGGGACAAGTACAAGCTGAGGACGCACCTGGCGGACATCCACTCCGCCGTGCAGCACGTGTTCACCTGCCCCGTGTGCAATCGCGTGTACAAGACCAAGAACACGCTCACCAACCACATCAGCCTCTCCCACCGCGGCTACAAGAAGCGGCGCCAGCACCACTACCACCAGCCCCACATGCAGCCCCCGCCGCCGCCGCCGCCGCCGTCGCAGCTGGGACAGCAGCAGCAGGAGCAGCAGTCCCACCAGCAGATACAGCAGCAGCAACTGGCGCTCATTGATCAGCAGGGATCACACCAACCGCACTGATGATCAGTCACGTGACCCTCCTCCGCCGTGCCAGTCGTCCACAGAGTACATACACACACGACGTCAGCGTGCTTCTGTAACCCACACCTCTGCCTTCGACGATTACAGCATAGATCACGTAACAGCCCCCGCCGCGACAAAAGACCTTCTTGTACATACTCCGGGACGCAGATATTGTTCAGAGTAGCATTTATGTTTCCTAGCAGTGGCTGGTGAAGATGAGACCGATGAAGAGTAGGAAATAGCACCCATGCGATGTCTTCATGTTATTTTCACTTCAGCCAAAAGATAAAATGAGTGCAAAAGTGATTTGAATGGTTCGGTCTTATCATATACATAATATACTTTTTGTAGGGAGATTTAAACAGAAACCTTACAATATACACGTCGTTGATTATGCAATAAATTAAACCTCATTTCTATATAAATTAAAAAAAAAGAAACGTCCTATTTTATATACAGGCGAGCTATATGTGCCAAGTAAAGGAGAAGAAACTTCTCTTTCTTTTTGAAGGTGGCTTGAGGTCCTCCAAGGAGAGGCTGAGGCCCGGACTCGTGACTGAGGAAAAAGGTGAAGGGAAGGGATGGTGAGGGGGGCGGGAGGGGTCTTCCTCCCCCTCCCCCCCTCTGACCGTCTCCCTCGCCCTCCATTACCAACCTTTCATGAACCGGACGGACTCATCAAGTCAGTATCAAAATATATATATATATAAAAAAGCTGTACTTTCCCCAGTGTATATTTTAAGTCGTGTATAGAATAGAGAGTATATATATGCGTATATACACAACACATAGAAGTTCCTAGACGTAAATTTAATGCAGTAACAACCACGTTCTGGGGACACTTCCAGGGAACGTGTCCCGCTGGTTGTTCGATAGATCTCTTCCCCGCCTTCCCCTGGGCGCGATATATCAGTTGTATACGATTTTTTACTTAGTCACAATAACTAAAAATTAAAAAAACTACCGTAGGATTAGTCTATAGTGATGAAACTAAAGGGTTTATATATATTTTACCGTTTAGCAAATTTTTAGTAGTTTTTTTTTCTTTTCTTTTTTTTTTTGGTATATTTACGCGTTCGAAACCATGTTCTTTAGGATATTTTGGAACCTTTTTAGTCTTACATTAGTTTAGTGTGACCTGAAACAAGGCTATGCTACCTGTATACCCGGGTCACTATGCGGCCTGGTATGTTTGCATGTTAGATAGTTATGACTTTGGTTTTAGATACGCTATTATTGTTGTTGATATTAATATTGTTATAATTGTATTATTATTATTATTATTATTATTATTATTATTAATTACCATTGTTATTATTATGATTATGATTATAATTACTATTATCAATTACCATTGTTATTATTATTATTATTATTATTATTATTATCATCATCATCATCATTATCATTATTATCTTCAATGATGATATAGTAATTTACTGTATGATCATTATGTTTTTTTTTATATTTATTGCTCTTGGAGCTATTGTTATAACAACTTATTTTATTATTATTTCAATTATTGTAATCGCAATAGCTGCTATTATTATTTCGGATGCTGTATGTCACATTTTCATGATTTTCCATTATTGTTACCAGTATTATGAATTATCATGATTATATCAAGCCATTTTTAGTCGCCATGATCGTGTCATGAAAGAAAAAAAATCTCGCTGTCTCGTAACAAGTTTTTTTTTTAGTTATTGCTTCCTCAGAGGACGGAGTGACGTTGCCATTAGTGTCAGAGCCTCACAATCCTTATCATTATGGGGCCGGCTGCGGGGCGGCTCCTGGCTGGGTCTCGGGGGAGTGGGGGGGGGGGCACCTACAGAGCCGAGAGGGAGAGTGGAAGGGAGAGGGTGAGCTTGACAGAAAGACGAACACCACTTGTAAACACCACATCGCATCATACTATGCCACACTACACCACACTACACCGTGCCGCCCATGACATACCACACACAACACCACACCGGAAAGAGAGAGAGAGAGAGTGAGTGCGTGAGTGAGTGAGTGAAAAGGAGACGAGAGTGAGAGAGAGACAGAGAGAGAGAGAGAGACAGAGACAGAGACACCAGCCCAGAGCCAACGCAACACCTCCCTCCCCCGTGACAGCTTCAATGGGCCCGTCTTCCCCGCACCTTCGCTAGATCTCACCATAACGCCAGATTCCCCGGGTCCTTTTTTGTAGCTGGTTCAAGCCATATGCAGTTTGAGCAGTTCATTACGTTCCTATGTTGCAACAGTTAACTAATTATTCAGTCGTCTCATATTTTTATAGTGTCTAGACAAGCGGTCAGTTACTCGTTCGTAGGTGCGATGGCGTACCGCTTTTTGATTTCAGTTTTGTGAACATTTTAGTGATCGTCTTTTCAGTTCAAGTTCATTGTTCGGTTCCTAAAGAAAGTACATGATTTTACTCACGCTTCCTGGATATATCCCAGTGTACACGCAGAACGCACACGCACTGACCATACTTTGAAGCCGTTTTAGTGCGAATGTTCATCGACCAAACAGGTTGAAAAATAAAGCTTCGAGTTTATGACCGTATATATCTCTTTTTAAGGGCTTGGGAAACTTGATATATTGGATAACGAACTAGTGTCCATGTAGCAAGGGGAGAAGTCTTGAAGCCCTGTGTTTTGAAGCCTCGCTTAGTATATAATTACGTTCCCGTATGCTTATTTCACCTGTTGGTTCGATCGTGGCGAGAAATACGCCCACAGCGTCATCAAAGACGAAAAAAGAATAGTAATGATTTTTTTGGAAATCCACTAGACATTCAGGATAATATATCCTCGGATAAAACGCTTTATCCAAGAACGTTTCCAGTAGCGTTCCTTGGGGACGTTAACCAAAGTCGGACATAGATCTCAGCAGCTAGCGACGCTGTCAACCCTTCTGTTGTGTTCTACCTCACGATCCTAAAAAAACAAACAAAGAGGAAATATTTTGTCAGGACTTCAGCATGGCAGCCATCCCGCCATGCCCACACGTTGTACTACGGCAAAGGTTAACAGTTCCTAAGGTTAGGGCATGTTCCAGGAGGTTTACCCCGTGTATTCCTGTCTTAGTTTTAAAAATGTAGTTCGTGCTTACAGATTACGTACTCTGTTTAGAGATTATTGCATTAAAAAGGCAGAGTCGCTTTTTGTTTGTATTTTTTTTTCTTACTGATAGTTTTTTTGGGCGGGTCTTGTAGGCGGTTAGTCGAGAGCCTGTTTTTTAAAATACATCTAATTTCTATTTATTTTGTAATGTTTAGTAGTGGCTGCGAGGTGAGGGATTGCGTGTGGGTAAATACACCTATGTTGCTATTTGTTAAACGACCCTGTATGTTTTTTTGTTTGTTTTACGATTTATGTAATTTATGCATAAAAAAACTTGTTATTATTCGTTGTTTTTGGGTCAACATCCTATTTATCTCGCCTCGTTTTTGTTTTTTGCTTCCTTTCGACTTCGTTAGAGTGCTAGGAAAGGTGTTATTTCATTTCGTAGGAGCTGTTTGCGCCGTTTCTCGGAACGGAAGGCTTGCTCGTGGAACTCAAAGTTGAGCGAAGGCCTACAAAATCACTGGTAGGCCTACATGCGCCCTCTGGCGTTTGCCTCAGTCCAGCCCACCCTTAGCTGCTTCATAGTATTTTTGTATTACTTAGCTTTTTATTTTTGTCTTGTATCGTAAATAGTTTATTTACCATTTTAGTTATTTTTCTAGAACTGGGCTGTCATGGATGCCTGAAAAAAAACATGTATTCACATTTAATAGTTAAAAGAATAAGCAGGTGCGGAATATTTTACGTAATAAAGAATGAAAAAGGTGTTTCTTCGTTTGATTTTCCTCCCCTTCTCAGAAGAGAATGATTTAAAGAAATATGTTAACTCCAAACATTATAGACTTCTTGATGATAGAAACAATTTTATAATGACAATGGAATCTAAAACTTGGGAAGTCGTGTATAATGACTGTCTAATATACTCTTAAGACGCACATATATGTAACATATAGATACTGCATAACAGATATGTGAAACTTATGAACTAAGTTAGCATTTATATGCAACATAAGAAAAATACAACAAAATTTAAAAAGATAGAAAATATGGAAACTCAACATGAACAGAGGTCGATAAAGAGAAAAACGCAGCATATAAAAAAGAAAGAAAAGGCCGTAGAAATACGGAAACTCAACATGGAAAGAAGTTGAATAATAAAAAAAGAAAATGTCGAATAGCACGACAGCATTAAATTCACGCAGGCAAAACATTAAAAAAAAAGAAAGAAATATTTCAAAAGAGCATTAGCCGGATGCGCCACGGCCATCGCAATCGCCTCGACGGAGAGCGCGGAACAATGGCGACCCAAACCAGTTCACCTGCATCTTTTGACCCCAAACTCTGGCCCTTGACCTTTTTGGTGACCCCGATGGTGCCAGCCGGATAAGCGGTGACCTTTCGGGCAGCGATAAGAGCGATTAGACATGTGTGCTTGGCGGTGCCTGTATTCATGCATGGAGATAGGTTGTCGGGGGGGGGGGGGGTTCAGTGCTGCTCCGCTCGCTTAATGAACTGCGTGTGATTAATCAGTTTATTAAGATGGCGAACGTCACCTAACGAAGTATTTCGGAAATTTATGTACATATATATATTTGCAACACGTATGAGGTTTACTTTTATTGGGGAAGTTAAAGATCTAATCAGTGATAAGACTTAGAATCTTATCTTGTGAAGTGAGCTGTTGCCAACCGAATGAGGTTACTTTCGGATCTATGCGGAGATGTCCCCATGCGTGTCGATATCTCTCTCTCTCTCTCTCTCTCTCTCTCTCTCTCTCTCTCTCTCTCTCTCTCTCTCTCTCTCTCTTCCTATCTTCCTCTCTCCTTCCCTCCCTGCCCCCTTCTCTCTCTCTTCCTCTTCCCTTCCCTCCCTGCCCCCCCCCCCTCTCTCTCTCTCTCTCTCTCTCTCTCTCTCTCTCTCTCTTCCTCTTCCTCTTCCTCTTCCTCTTCCTCTCTTTCTCTCTCATCCCCCCCCCCCTCTCTCTCTCTCTCTCTCTCTCTCTCTCTCTCTCTCTCTCTCTCTCTCTCTCTCTCTCTCTCTCTCTCTCTCTCTTCCTCTCTTCCTCTCTTTCTCTCTCATACCCTCCCCCCCCTCTCTCTCTCTCTTTCTCTCTCTCTCTCTCTCTCTCTCTCTCTCTCTCTCTCTCTCTCTCTCTCTCTCTCTCTGTCTCTCTCTTCTTCATCCTGACACTTATTGAAGCGCGCGAGGGGTAAATGGAACCGGCGATCTGTCAAGAGTGAAGAAAGTCCGCCGGAGACTTGCTTGTCTGCCGTTTCTATCGACGTTTTGCACTTCGTTCTGGCGCTGAGATGGAGGCGAGAATGAGCGCCATCGGAGGGTGTGGATGCAGCTAGAGATAAGAGCGTAATTTCCGATTATCTTGATTATCTCTTAAGAGGAAAGGCAAAGTGTGGTTATCATGGAACTTTGGGCATTTAGGATTATTCGTTTATTCGTTTATTTGTTGATTTTTTGGGGGTCTGTTTTTTGAAGGGTGTATTTGTTTTCTTTTTTTTTTTGTTTTTGTTTTTAGGTTGAGCCTGTTATATTTTGTAAGGAAGGTATGGAGATGAGGTTTGGGGTAGCGGTATTTGTTAGAGTTTTTTTTCCGTGACACTTTCTCTCGCCTTAATTCTCTGCCGCTGTGACGTAACGCTCATTCGGGCTTGGGAGATATTGTGAGAGAGGCGTGGTCTTGTTGAAGATGGGCGTGGTTATAGGGTGGGTAAGCGAGGGGTGGGGGGAGGGCATGGAAAGAAGATATCGTGGCCTTTACGTTGTGTTTTGAGTAATGGTTACGTGTATGTTTATATAAATTTTGTCCAAGTGAAACGCAAGGCGGTGGTGAAAGGTATTATAAAGATTATATCACGGAGGTGATCGTGCAGCCTCCCTTTATTCGCTTGAGTCACTTCTCTCCCTCCTTTTTTTTATTTCTTTCCCATATATTTTATTGTCGTGCGACCTCGTTCTCTTTCTTTTTATTTATTTATTTTTTATCTTTTATTTTCATTTCATCTCCCAATACTTCTTCCTTTCGGATCAAGTGTTCACAGCAACGAAACTTTTACGGAAAAAGAGCGGGCCGAAACACACTCGAACAGACAGGCAAACGAACAACTAATATGCGGGAAAGCTAACATTTAGATAGGTACAGATTAGAAGCTAAATTTACCTGCTCGTCGGCTGATAAGAGCAGATAGGCAGGCAGACAGGCAATTGAATAGACAATGATAAGACGCATGGCTTGACTGGCAGCCTGTTTGCACGAATATTGCAAACAGAAGTGTTTATACAGACAGGGAGATTCGCAGACGGAAACGAATTGGAGGAATAAATGAAAGCAAGAAAGCGTAGAAGGAGAGAGGGAGAGATACAAAAGTAAACTGAGGAAGGGAGGGGATGTAGAGAGAAATAGATCGAAACAGGTGTAAAATAATGATGATAGTCATAGCTATGATGAAAGTGGTGATAAAGGAATAAATGAAGGAATTAATATGAATGAAGTAGTGATGATAACGACGATCTTGATAAACAGATAGGTAAATATAATTGAAAGAAAGACTGATTGGCAGGAAAAGAAACAGAAATAAAAATAAATATTTTAATGTTAATGACGATAATAAATACCAATAAATAAGAGTAATAGTAACATTGATAATAGTAATAGTAGTGATAATAACTGATAATGTTACGGTAATAACACTCAGACAAAGCAGCGGAGGTACAAAAGTAAACACTGTGGCAATAAGCAGACAAAAAAAAAACAGGCGACGTGACACTTGCAGGCTGATAGCTGTGCTTGGGTGGATACACGCGCGCGCCATACGAAAGAATAGATGATTAAACAACGAAGTGGAATTAAGAAAGGAAATGGGTTAATTGTGCTGTGGGACTCGGTTCGTGTGTATCCTCACGTTTTGTTTTGTGAGAGAGAGAGAGAGCGTGTGTATGTGTGTGTGTGTATCTATATCTATCTATATGCACATATATGTATATATATATATATATATATATATATATATATATATATATATATATATATATATGTATATATATATATATATATATATATATATATATATATATATATATATATATATATATATGTATATATATATATATATATATATATATATATATATATATATGTATATATATATATATATATATATATGTATATATATATATATATATATATATATATATATATATATGTATATATATATATATATATATATATATATATATATATATATATATATATAAACACACACACACACACAAACACACACACACACACACACACACAAACACACACACACACACACATATATATACATACAGTTCGTATGAATATTTACCCCCCCCCCCCCCTCTCTCTCTCTCTCTCTCTCTCTCTCTCTCTCTCTCTCTCTCTCTCTCTCCTCTCCCTCTCCTCTCCCTCTCTCTCCTCTCCCTCTCTCTCCCTCTCTCTCCTCTCCCTCTCTCTCCTCTCCCTCCCTCTCTCCCTCTCTCTCTCTCTCCCTCTCTCCCCCTCTTCCTCCCCCTCTCCCTCCCCCTCTCCCTCCCCCTCTCCCTCCCTTCCCTCCCTCCCTCCGTTTTGTATATTCATTCTTCATTTTAACACAATTTTCTTTTTTTCCCCACTTTTCCTCTTGAGTCCTTTAGAGTCTCCCCTTGTTCTGGAATTTCATCAGGAAAAAACGTGGCGGTCACTCGGCCTCACCCGCTGATACCTGGCCGGGTGTGGACACGCAGGGGCCTCTGGGGGGTGAGAGAGGGAGGGAGGGAGGGGGGAAAGGAGAGAGGGATGGAGGAGAAGGAAAGAGGGAGGGAGAAGGAAAGAGGTGAGGAAGAAGGGAGAAGGAGATGGGAAAGTGTAAAGGCGAAGGAGGAGAGAGAGTGAGAAAGGGATGCACGTGTAAGGGAGGGAGAGAGAGAGAGAGAGAGAGAGAGAGAGAGAGAGAGAGAGAGAGAGAGAGAGAGAGAGCGAGGGAGGGAAGGAGGGAGGGGGGTGATAGCGCAGGTGGAAAGGAAGGAAAACGGGCGGAAAGAAGGAAAATGTAGAGCAGACATAGAGAAAATAGACAAGAAGAAGGAGGGTAACACACGAGACTCTAGTAAACCAATGTGAGTGTCAGAAAGAAAATAGAAATCCCCAAAACAAAAAAAAGAATAGATAATGAATAAAAAAGCGAAATGATGAAATACTAAAGCAATTAAACAAAATAAGTTAAGTCGATTAACAAATGCATAGAACTACTACTCCTGTATAGACGTAGTAACCACCGTCCACCATGGTTGTTTGGTTTGATACATTGATTGTAGTTTGTGGATACACACCTGCACTGTATTTTTTTTACTAACCAATTCCAGCAGCACTGTACTTCTCCGAATCATTATCTCCTTATCTGTCACTCAACCTTGACTGTCACTGCACCTGACGTTCCTTGTTCTCTGTTCCCCCTTATCCATTATCTGCATTCTTATTACATCATTATCGTCATTACCATTGCTGTTGCCATCATTAATCATGACCGTCTGCATTCGTGATCATTATCCATATCATTTGCATTGACGTGCTATTGATTATCGTCAGCGTCACCACCATATGGAGGAGTATCGGCATATGTATCGTTATCATTATGAGCATAATAATCGTCGCCATTATCCTGCCTTGAGATCTCAACATGACTACCATTATGTCATTACCACCTTTTTTCTGTCAAAGATCACCATCGTAATCATTATGATTATCATCGTC